TTTTTCAGCCGGAAGAAGAGTCCTCGATGCGTGCGCGATCGGTTTAGTAGTGCCATCTTCATATTTGTGTAGCAGTGCAGCACCCACTCCGTACAAACTTGCGTCAGTTGCTAGAATGATCTCTTTCTCAGGATCATAATGTGCTAAGGCGAGATCTGAGAGTAGGCATTTTTTATTTTCTGAAAAGCCGTCTCGCACTCTTTTGACCAAAACCATTTCTTGTCTTTTTTTAACAATTCGTTGAGGGGGGCTCTTAAATCATACATTTTAGGTATGTAGATTGCATAATATTGTGCCAACCTCAGAAACGATTGTAGTTTCGCAACTGTGTCGGGTGCAGGCATGTTCTTAATTGCATCGGCTCTCTGTGGGTCCGGTTTCCTGTCTTCACTGTCTATCACCTGTCCGAGGTACGAAATTCTTTCCATGAAGAATTTACACTTCTCGTGGCTTAATTTAAAGCCAAAATCTTCTAGTCTTTTGAATATCGCTCTGATGTGCGTTTTATGTTCTTGAACATTCTTACTTTTGACTAGAATGTCATCTAAATAGGCGGTACCAAACTCAAGGCCTGCCAGCATAGTGTCCATCACCTGTTGAAACAACGCTGGGGCGACCTTTAAGCCGAAAGGAAGCCTATTTAGCTTATAAATACCTTTATGTGTATTTATACACAAATATTTCGAGCATTCGTCACTCACTTTAATCTGCAAGTATGCGTCAGACAGGTCGATTTTTGAAAAAAAAATCTTCCCACCATTCAATTTTGAAAAATATCTTCTGGTGAAGGTAGTGGATAACTGATTTTTAAGGCAATCATTTAATCCTGTTGAAAAATCTGCGCACACTCTTATTTTTCCGTTTTTCTTCTTAAACTGTGGGTGAGGCCCAATCCGAATGGTCAATCTTAGATATCACTCCCATTTTTTCAAGTCTTTCCAATTCCTTATTAATTGCGTCTAAGGAGGAAAAAGGAACGTTTCTCTTAGGTTTGAAAATTGGTTTCACATTTTCCTTGAGTTCAAATTTGACTTCCGTCTTAGTACATAAACCCAAACCCTCAGAAAAAACTCTGGGATATTCTTTTAATTCATTTATGAATTTTTCACTTTTAATATTTTTTTGTTTTTCTGCACTGTTTATTACGTTGCAAAATGAGTTAATCGGGAGTTCAAACAAATCAAAAAGTACTATACAGTCTATTCCAAAAAGACTGGAATTAATCCCTTGGATTACATACACTTTCGTTTTTGCAGTCTTGGCACATAACGAAATATCGCACTTTAATTCTCCCATAAAGTTTAATTTCTTTCCTGAAACCCCTCTAGCGGTTTTTTTGGTTTCAGATAATTTAGGTCTTCCAATATTTTTCCATGTTTGTTCATCAATGATGCTTATGTCTGAACCAGAATCCAATAGGAAAGTAATTGTATGATTATTTATACGTACATCTACGTACTTTCTATTTTTACCTTTCTGAATTTCTTTTTCTGATAATACCAGGCTTACATCTTGTAATTTTCTTTTCTTTCGGCAAACCGTATATTTATGCCCTTTATTTCCGCACGATTGGCAGAATTTATTTTTGTACCAACACGTGTCTTTGGTTGGAGTTTTTTTTCCACACGTCTCACATTTTTCTATCTTTTTGGCTTTTGGAGTTTTTCGAGTTTATACGTGTCGAACATTAACAACATTTCTCCTCAATTTGTATATTATCCCTTTTTACGTTTATGAGACGTTGGCATTCTTCGGTCACCCTTTGTAATGTTATTTTCGAGTCTTGCTCGACCATTATTAATATTCTCGACCTAATTTCTTTATATTTAGGATCAGTTAGTCCTTGAAGAAAAATTAGGCACTTGAATACTAAAATACATCTTTGGTTATTTCTTCTAACTTGAATTGTTCAACCAGAGAGTTCACTGTTCCCGCGTATATCACAAAATTCTCGTTATCTGCTTTAACGATGTTTAGGCATCTGTATCGCGTGTGGAACAGACTATTCCTTTCGTCAAATATTTTTGACAGAATACTTATAGTTTCTTCAAACGAAACTTCTGGCTTTCTGGGCAATATCAAGTTTGAGTACTTCCTATTCTCGTTTGTCCCTAGTTTCTGGACTAATAATGTTACTCGTTCCTCATCCGACCAATGTTGACATCTCTTGGTAAATATAGTTTCGAAACGTTTAAAGTACGCTGGAAATGTAATGCCCGAATCAGGATCATAAATAAATTCGGATAATGAATTTGCTATTCCTTCGGCAGAAAAAACAGTATTTTTTCTTTCTCCAGTCGCCTGTTTCAGAATTTTTTCGAGACTTTTTTGCTGTTGCAATATTTGTTGTTGTAAGTCTTGGTGCTGTTTTTGTTGCTGTAACTCTTGATGCTGTTGTTGTTGTTGTTGCAAGCTTGTACACAGCATTTTATTTTAGTCATTTCGACTAATTGCTCCATCCTGACTTTATTTAGAATTCGGAAAAAAATTTTTTTTTTTTTTTTTTTTTTTTTAGACAGTTAACAGACAATTTACAGCCGTAATATTTTTACAACCCGTAATTTTTACTTGAATAATCAATTATTAGACCGGCTCGTATTTGAGTCGCGGTTGAATATATATTTTTCAAATCACAATTTAACAGTAAAAATTCTTACTTTTCAAAAAGTTTCCTTTTGACTTGTGACTCCGCTTTCGAAATCCGTTCAGCGTATTTTTTTTTTTTTTTTTCAAGTAAGTACGTTGCACAATCCTTCGTCGCCAGCTGTTATTTCTCTTGGACTTGGACATGCTGCTACTTGAACTAACTGCTACTTGAAGTGACTACTACTTAGACTGGCTGCTGCTTGGACTGACTGCTGCTTGAACTGACTGCTACTTTAACTGATGGCAAAATGAGGTGACTGATACAGGAACTTATTACTATTAAACTGATTGCTACATGAACTGACTGCTAATTTCACTGACTGCTACTTGAACTGACTGCTAACTAGAACTGGCTAATACTTGGATTTACAACTACTTGGACTCTGTGCTACTTGGATTTACTGCTGCTTGAACTGACTGCTAATTGAGCTGACTACTAGTTGGACAGACTTCTACTTATACTGACTGTTACTGCTTTGATTGCTGCTTGAACTGACTGCTAATTAGACTGACTTCTAATTGGACTAACTGTTACTTGACTTGACTGCTACTTGGATTCACTGCTGCTTGAACTGACTGCTGCTTGGACTACATTGCATTTATTTTCAATTTTTCTTGTTGATTTTTCATGTATATTGCATATGATCCATTACTGTACATAATTAGGTTGCTATAAAATTTGTATTTTATATGAATATGACCCTATGAAAATTGAGATGTATTAGAGTAGGGGGGAATGGCTATCATATATTCAGTGGGCACAAGATCCTTGTACTGACCCTGATGGGAAAAGATAGATAAACTAGGTCAAGAGCATTCGAACCAGGATATGCAGAGTCAAAATAAAACATTCAAAATTTTGAGTAACAATAAGCTCATACAGGAAGATTAAACAAAATTACAGAGTGGGGAAAATTTCTTTCAAGTGCTGGAAATTTATAAAATGCTTGTTGAGGAAAAAATGGGTGTAACTTATAAAAAATTACTTTTGTAGAGTGTGTGTTATAGAAGAAAATGTTAAGCATTTTTTAAATGCTAATATGGAAATGTCTTTAACTGTTATTGTAATGAAATGTCCCACACTCCCTATCATCTATGTGGACTGACTATATCAGTAGCTATATATAGCAAGAACAGGATATACCTAGGAGCTTGCTTTGGGAATTGGAGATTCGTCTCCAGCTAAGCTAGTCAAACTCTCTCTCTGCCTTCAGGCAGAGAGGAACCCAGATGAGGCTATGTCAAAGGGCAGTGTCTCATCTGGGGTGGTAGACAACTACCTGACCTGTTTTTTTAGAGATTTACTTTTATCCGTAAATTTTGTGTGCAGCGAGTCTCTTCTAGGTGTTGTTTATTTTTAGATTTGATGAAAATGTCTGATTCTGAGACTGATAAAATTTGGAAGTACAATAAGCTTACATTCTGACCCATGTTTTTTTCAAGTTGAAGGAGTGGTCAGACCTGAGCAGATTGAGCAGATTTGCCAGACCTTTACTCTACTTTACTTTAGTGAAAATTGGGCTACTTTGGAAATCTCAGAACTCTTAAACTTTGAATTTTACTACTGTAAAGAACATGTTTAAAAGAAGCTGGTCTAACTTGAGCTATTTAGAAGAATAAAGTCAAAAATTAACTATTCATTTATTTATAAGGATATATAATTACTTATTGAAGATATATACTTAAATACTGATACATTACTCTCATATCACATTTTTTATTAAATACTTACTGTGATAACATTAATAAAACTGAAGATAGATAGATATGAACAGACTCGGATACATAGATATGAACAGACTGAGCCAAATAAATAGATAGATGTGAACAGACTGAGTCAGATATGAATAGGCTGAGTCAGGTATATAGATATGAACAGACTGAGTCAGAAAGCTAGATAGATAGATAGAGGGAGAGAAAGAGAGATAGATAGATAGATGTGAACAGACTGAGTGAGATAGATATGAACAGGCTTAGATATGAACAGTATTAAATAGATATGAACAGACTGACTCAGATAGATAGACAGATATAAACAGACTGAGTCAGATAGATATGAAAAGGCTGAAATAGATAGATAGATATGAATAGACTGAAATAGATATGAATAAACTAAAATAGATATGAGTAGACTGAGTCAGATAGCTATATACAGAATTAGATAGATAGTTATGAACAGACTCAGTTAGATAGATATGAATAGTAAAATAGAAAGATATGAACAGAAAATAGACCAAAGTAGATTCAGGCTAAATCTGAAATGCTATTTTAACATTAAGAGTTATTTCCCTTGATTTTTCCACGAATTTCGAATACTGAGAATAATCGCCATTTTCAAAGCTGCCTGTTACGCTATGGACGTTGTTTTGTGTTCGGGACATCGTAAGTTTTTATCTACGCCAATTTTTTATTGTCACTTTCTTTCTTTTGTACAAATACCTGCTAAAGTTTTATCAAAGTTTATTTTAGTATCTGATTATTTCCCAGAAACTTAGTAAAGAAAATAAGTTGTTTTTTTTTCTTTATGACGAAATTATTATTTTTTCTCAACAAATTAAAAGTAAAACATTTTTAAAAATTAAATTAAAATTTGAATAATACTTTTTCATAAATATTTATTTAAAAACAAATGGAAGCTGAAATTAAACTGTACCTGTAAAATATCTTTCTCGGATTGTTTTTCAACATTTTTTTTATACAAGTTTCTTAGAAAAATAAAAGTTTCTAAAAAAAAAAAAAAAAAAAGTCACTTCATTCATTCTTTTTGGAGTAAAGTGTTTTTTGGGGTTTTTTTTTTTTTGTCATTGGAGCAATTTAGTCAAAAACTTCACTTTTTAAAACTTCTTATTTACCTTTTTTTAGTCATTTGTATTTGTTTTTTATTATTCTCTACCAGGATGTGTTTTCTTTTATTATTATTCATTATCTTTTTTTATTTAAATCTTTTTTCTTTCTTTTTTTCCGGTTTCGTTTTCTTTTTCTTTTTGTTAATTCCAAGAAACTAAATTTGAAAATTAATTATCAACAAATTAAATTAATTATTGCCTTTTTTTTTTTCTCATTTATGGCCTTTTTTTTTTTTTTTTTTTTTTTTTTTTTCAATTTTTTATATTTTTCATACCCCAACCCCGAAATTATTTCCTAAGTTTCAAAATGATTTGGCACAAAGCCACAGGGTCACCAGGGATCGAACTCCTTACTAAGTCAGTAGGATTTTTTTTAACCCCCACTCCCTTTATTAACAATTAAAAAGTAAGACCAGTTTTGGACCTGACCCCCTATCGTTGGCGGAGCAGGGGGTTTCTACGCAAATTTTGACCATTGGCATGAGCGTTCGCGCTCGGGTTCCCCACGTTAAACCCTGACTTTGTGTCTCATCCCACCTCGGTGGGGAGACTACAGGTAGGTACCTACCTACTCAGTAGTAATGGTCAGTCATCAAATTATCTCGTTAACCGTTTAAATGGCACTAATTAATTCTACTAAAAAAAATAGGGAAAACTTTGTCGAAAAATAATTTGCCGCCGAAACATTGCGAATTTGCCTGCTAAAAGAAAAATCAGCAAAATTCCTTAAATAATGAAAAGAAAACAAATATTGATTTCGTTGTGCAGGTTTTCAAACCCGAAGTTGTTTTTTTATCCTAAAATTAAGTTTGCAAAAAAAAAAAAAAAAATGTCTCTCTTTGTAACTCAAGAATTTTTAAAAACATTGATAAGTCATTATTATTTCTTCATATAGCTTTTTTAAAGGTTTTTTTTTTATTTCTGCTGTTTTGTTTGAATATTTTTTTTCTTTAAAAAAAAAAAATTATCACCATAAAAAAAAATAATGGAAGAAATAAATTAAAAAGTTTGCGACCATCCGATTTCCAAGAAGCACCACTTGAAAGAGAAAAAGAAAGAAAAAGAATCATGTTATTTGTTCAGAATTTGATAAGTGGGCAAAAGTGAAACTTTACGTTTCCTATTTTGAGAAAATATTAAAAAATAAAACCTATTTTTAATTTTCAGTTTCCAGAAAATAAAAAGGTCATTAAAAAATAAATAACACCAAAATAAAAAAATAAAAAACAAATATAAAGTTAAAAAGTTGAGTTTTAATTTTGTTGAATTATTTTTGGCAAAATTCGAAAGTTTTCCATTTTGATATTTCATTTTTTTTTTTTTTCTTTTACTGAAATATCTTCATATATTCTTAAAAACAAAAAAAAAAAAAAAGAAATTAAACACCCAACCCAAATTTTAAAGTACATACAAGATATCAAAATAACATCACCCCCAATATTTTTACAAAGTTTTCTAATAAAATAACCTATTTATTCAGTATATAATTCATTCATTAAATGAATAAGTCCCAAACATTTTGTTTGAATAGAATAATTCCTTGATTTTTGGCAAATATTTTAAAACAGGTGGTAGCAATTTTTTTTTAATTTAATTTTGGAAATGATGCAACCATTTTGGTGGTACCGATATTAGGTACTTCCAAAGATTCACAACGCCTAAGGTTTAAAATGAATTTTTGAAAATGAAAAATCTTTCTTGAAGCTTTTTATTTTAGTTTTAACTTCAGGTTAATAGGTTAAATTAATATTTCCAATAAGCAAAATACTTTGTTCAGTTTCCTTTTCTTCTATATTAAATTTGTTATAACCAATCCATACACTGAGATATTTAAAATGTTTAGTATTTACTGATTCCACATTGTGAATTTTTATGATAAATTTAAGGTCAGTGCCACCTCTGCTTTCATTCCAATTCTAGATCATAGTTTCCGTTTTGGAAAATGTTTCTCTTCAGTTCCATTTCTTGAAATTCTTGATAAAGGATACTGACTTTTTGGTCAAGGTCATTTTCATTCAATTGTATCAATATATGCCTCAGCATACATTTACTATTAAAGAGAAGTAGGTAATTGAGTCTTATTTCTTGGAACACTTGGTAGTCCATCCTGGGTATGATGATAAACTACATCCACATCCTGGGTAAGACAATAAACTACAACCAACAACAAGGCCTTTGATCAGGAGGTTTTGAGAAGCGTGAAACTACCTCTTAATTGCTGGTGTTCCCAGGTCCACCTGTCCTGGGGTGGTAGCACCTGTCAGGATCCCAGCTATTGGCAAATAGTTAACTCACCCCCAAAGGAGTCAAAGCACTATGAAACACTATAATACCAGCAATACTTTATTGTAAAAATTATTACCATCAAAAATTAATGTCAGTAATACATTTTTGAAAAAAAATGTTACCAGGTATACATTTGAAAAAAATTATCAACTATCCAAAAAAAAAAATTACCAGCAATACATATTACCCGCAATAAAAAATCTTGTCGTCATTAAATAACCGATTGAGATTGATATGGTGTAAACCAAACCAAACCAAACACTTGGTAGTGAATGATGATCCTTTTGATCGAGTCCATTCTCGTCCCAAATATGTATACCTATAAAACAAAATTTTATCGTCTAAATGTTTGTTATTCATTAAGAGGAAAGGTCAAAGTATTTTGGGGGTATTTTTTTCCATTTTTAATGGATTTCCTAGCACGTCCGAAATTTTCGTTAAAAATCTAGTTTTTTAGAGTCAGCAAAATTGACCATTTTTTTCCATTTTAAAAAAAACTGGAAATCTGACTTTGAAATTTTTTAAATATCAATTATCATTTTTTCAAAACTTATTTTAAGAAAATCAGAAATTATAATGTTTATTTAAAATATTTTGAACCAAACTTAACTTAGCTTTTTTTGTGCCAAAAAGATGTAATTTGAAAATAAAACAAAGCAGGTCATAAACTTTCGCGTCTCTTGACATGTGATGAATGATATATTTACGAATTCCATGAGGCTAATTTGTTCTACTGGATGGAGAAAAGTGAAATAATTTACATTTACGTGAACAAATTATTTACCCCCGTTATTTTTAACGAAAACTTTCAGCGGTCTAATTTTTTTTTTTTTTTTGTACTTAGCTTTCACCTTTACGTTTATGATGCTTTATGGGAAATATATTCTAAAGAAATTAAAAAAATAAAACTGTTAAGAGTGACATTAAATTTCATATTTCTTAAGAAAGGTATCTAATTAATTTATAGGTACCTTTCTTATGAAATTTTATCAGAATTGTACATAAAATACTATAATTTTATGTACATTTATTACATTCTACTGTTATTTGTATTTGCATTCATTTTATTATTAATTTTGATATTTCATTTATGGAAAAATGTCGTAACCGAAATTAATATAAAAAATAAGATCATATAAATTTCATAAGATGATACTGATACTTGTAGGTAACCTTCTCAGTTGAAATTGAAAAATCAAATTAACTTCTCCACACGTGTTTTAGCAAAAGTAAAAGGCCTTAACAGCGGAGAACAATGCTTAACTCAAATAACGCAACTTAATTATATTCTGGTTGGTCTTCCATATTTTATAATTACAGCTCGATTATAAGCACAAAATTACATTTCTTAATTACTGGGGATCTTCTGATTAGTCAAAATGATACAATTTACAACGCTAAAAAAAAAGATCTATCTCATAAGGACACTTATGAAAGCCTGTGCAGCTTTTAATTAATTTTATAATATTTTAACAACTTAAATGTAAAATCTATTATAATTAATGAAATAACAAATAATTGTATTAAAAATTCATTTTTCATCGAAAAAAATTTTTTTGCTTTCAGAAAATATTGTCCATATTCATAAAAACAACTAAAAGCAAATAAAAGCATTTGAAATTAAATGATATCTTTGTTTTATTGAGTTTTGTATGTTACAATTCAGAGCTGATTTTCAGGTACTGGGTATCCAATTAAAACAAAAAAAAAACATGATTTGCATTCCTCAAAGCCCTGTGCTTTTTAATTATTGTAATCACTAAAACCGATGCGATCAATTTCTAGCGCTTTCATAAAATTAGTTATGGGGGGGTAATAAATATTTAAAAAAAAATATTTCTACCATGACTTTCATAAAAAAAAACATATTTATAATAATTTCGATCATCTGTGAATAGTTCCTGAAAGTTTCATTAACATCCGATAATTATTTCTATTTTTTGCACGATTTTTCAAATTAATGTGTGTCATGTCATACCAAAAAACGTGCTAAAAATTGTCTATGTTATTTACTAGTTCGCTTGATACAAATAGAAACAAGGTTTTTTTAATCAAAATTTAGAATTTTCTAAAAGAAGGAAAATTTTTAAAATAATTAAAAAACTTTGGTCTTTCCTCTAAATAATAACATAAGCATTTAGACAATAAAATTTTGTTTTCGGCAAGGTTGGCGTCTTTTTCATCAAGCTATGCTCTTTTTTTAGCGATTTCGTGGAGGTACCTAACTAAAGTTCTCATTTCCTTGTTGTGCTCCTGATGACATTTGAAATGTTTGCATTAAGAAATTAATATATATTCTTAAAAGTGTTATTGTGTGTACAATCATATTCTTAGAGAGATAGGAAGGTGCGTTAATCTATCAGGTTGTGTGTTAGCGGAACATTTTATGCGTGCTTGGTCTTATATCGCAGATGTTCTCAGTGATGTTTAGGGCTAATTCTAATTATCACTTGAAAGTGTTGGAATCCAAATCCTACTCCCTCCTGTTGGAGGAACCCTTCTTAGTTAACCTCCACCATTTCCTATTTCTAGCCATATTGGGTATGATTGAAGAACTGAAGGAAAAAGCAAATAAACTGTTATATAGGAATAAAGTGTCGTTGCTGACACCATAGTTTGAACACAGATCGCCAGTGAGCAAACACAGGCAATCCCATTTTGAATTAGTAGATCACGTGATAGTAAAGGAAATGTATATATGGGAATTAGCGTGGCATCTAATTGATCACCATTTCTATGCTATCCTCTATATTATTCCCTATACTGACCATTATATGGATTATTATTCGAACCACTATTCACTGGTTACTTTTCGAGTGAGCATTATCGAGCAAGTACTGTTAGTTTGAGTATTATTCAAAGACGTCTGACATTAGTATTGTTCAACGGCATTACTATAGTTGTATCTGCGATTACAAAGTCTCTACTACAATCAGCATTATGTAAGTGACAACAAGTATTTGTTGACATTACAAAAGCGGTAACAAATGTTCATTGATATCACAAAATAAAGAAAAGAAAAATGACATACCACCAACACAAATACTTGAAATCCAGAAAGAAAAAAAAAAGATGGCCACTGATAAAGCAAATACTTAAGAATGCTACATTCATGCAAATTTCCAATCATTGAAAAGAATATAAAAATTGCATTGTCAATGAAAGAAGGGACAAAATTATTTTAGATTCTACAATCATTGCATAGTCAAGTGGATTTTCTACATTGGACGAATAGTATATAAAGAAGAGAAGAAAAAGAAGAGATTTATTGTTGCCAAAGCAAACTTCAAAAACCAATGAGTGAACACCAACTACACTGGGCCATAGTATCAGGTCAGATTGTTGCACCATCTTGCCTTTGGCTACCATCTAGTTCTTTGACATGCCTATGGTCTCTACCTGTTTTCTCAGAGATGTGACCAGCCCATCTATGTTTGCCCTTCTTGATAATCTCGATCATGTCCATCACTTTAATCTGTTGTTGAATCCTGTATTGGAATCAGTGTACCTACCAGCTTTTTCAGTTATCTGTTTGGATTGGTCTTGCTTTTATGTCCATCGTCTTTTTCATGTTGAATTGAATATGGTCTATGTTAATTATGTTTCATGAATATGTCCTGAAGATGGTCTATTAGACCAAAACGTCCGACGTTGACATTATATTAACATTAAAACAGCATAATTGCATATTAGGATTTTTGTTTGTTTTTTCCGTATATTTTTCTTCATACTGTCGGATCTATATCCATATATTTGCTTACATATATATATATATATATATATATATATATATATATATAAAATACGAGCTTATCTCTGAAATACTAGTGCTGATTTATGAGTGCTGTGTAATATTCAGAGTTATTTATATACTGCACTTTGCTCTTGCATATTTTTCTTTTCTTCTTTTTTTTGACCCACTGAAGGATCAGAAACCAGCATTTGGAAAACCCTGCAATTGGCCACATGTAGATAACATTTTTTTTTTTTTTGTCCTTTTCCAGAAAAGCCATGTTTTTTAAAGACTGGGACGAGAAAAGGTCCAACTCAAGGAAAAAGTTTTTACATCTGTAGTGTTCCTGAATCTAGATGCCAGTTTGTTAAAACAGTGGAGTGAGTAATTTTTTTTTTTTTTATTTACTTGAAATATTTTTCTGTTATATCCTTTCCATCTTAGCATCCTGGGTAAGACTATAAACTACCTCCAGGAGCAAGGCCTTTGATTAGGAGATTTTGAGGAGAGTGGAACCACCTCTTAATTGCTGGTGTTCCCATGTCCACCCTGACCCAGGGTGGTAGTACCTGTTAGGGTCCCAGCTATGGACAAATAGTTAACTATTACCAGCAATACAATTTTGCAGGAAAAATAGTACCAGAAACAGATTTTTGACAAAACAAAATATTACCAGCAATAAAAAAAGTTGTCAGCATTAAATAACCCATTGAGGTTGATATGCCGTAAAACAAAATAAACTAAACCAATCTAAACCAAAGAATATATATTCTATTCATACGAATCTATCCTAAAAATGTTATCGGCATTTAATAACCCATTGAGATGTTGATATGCCGTAAAACAAAATAAGCCAAACCAAACTTTCCATCTTAAAAATATCATCTACCAACTTTTACATAAATGACATTGAGAAAAAACAAATTAACCATTTCTAAGCAGAAATCATTCTTCAATGCCAAAGCCACAGGGAACCAAAGACCACATGTGTTTGACCAAGGAGAGCCTTCAAGCTGGAGAACATTGGTGGTGGTTTAAATTGGAGGGAAATGAGCTCTATCAGCTCTACATGTTTAAGACACACTACACATGAATAAATACTGGAAATGCTTAACCTTTGTGCCAACAAAAAAAATCTGTGTGTCAGAAAGGACAGTTATTCCCTTGATACCACTATTATTGTATACACGCTTGGCAAAGTTTATTTTTCAAACGTCATGATTAGAATTTAACTAAAACCTGAAGGAAAAGAGTTGGTTTCAAGTTTGACACTGCCGTATCAAGTATAAGGAGGAAGATAGATTCCTATAGTCTTTCTTAGTCTCTGACGATATGCACACCCGAACCGTACGACCAACTCAAGAACAAAAGAAAAAGAAAAAGCCCCCACCTGCGATATTGCTTGTTTTATATCAATTCTAACTGGCCGAAATTTGCATACATTACACGTCCGTGACTCATAAATAACACGTCCCCCCCCCCCCGTACGCGCGTGCTTTTATTGTTAACTTCCGCCACTCTGCAAGCGAAACACATTCGCACTCATTTCAGATTCTAAGGTAGGCCATTTTTTTCTCCTTGTTCGTCCAGCATTTCATTTAGCCAAGGACTGTTGCTACATTTGCGTAAGTGTCCACTATTCTGCTTACATATCACGCATGCCACTCATTGCCTCTTAGAACAGCGAACTGTAGTCAGTTCAGCAGAACCCGCAGACTGCTGCCTTTCAGTTTTGCTACAACCCAAACATATGAAAGTGAATTTATGAATTTTCTTTCTTCTTGAAAATTAAGAACAAAGATATTAAACAGTATTTATTAGGGTGAATAAAAAACTTGTTTTCATGGTTATTTATAAAATGGTAAATAATAAGTATTGCATTGTAGATGGTTTACATGTTTTGATAATTTCGTAATTTTTTTAATAATTTTTGAATAAAAAGATTTTATTTCAACTTTATTTCTTTATAAAAATGGTGAATAATAAATCTTTATAAAAGATAAATGATAAATATCACAACGTACTTGGTCCACATATTTTTACAATCGTAGAAATAAACATTGCCAGGGGAGTCAAAAGTAGCAGCCTGAAGGAAATAACCATCCTTTTGACCCAAACAAACAAATGGACACACATTTTAGATGATGTTTTATAGCTAATTCTTAAAAAATATCTTTTGTGCCTGTGTTTTTTTTTTATGTTTTTTTATGTTATTGTTTTTTGTTTTGTTTTTTTTTTCCCTGGCTACTTTCATCTTAAAGTTTAAGTGAAAAGATATGAAAAAAAAAATACAAAATTTTTGTTTCTTAATTTTCTCTTGAAGTTTGGAACCTATCAACTGTCCTGTGCATCCAAATACAATGGTGGACCTTCAGGCAGTTCTTGAAAATCCCCAAACACAAGAAAAACAGTAAGTAGGCCTATTTTTAAAATTATCCTGCATTGCGAAAATGTACTTAAAAGTTTGTTATGGTCCGGTTTCTTGTACCACGGTGATAGTCCAAGGTAGAACCAATAAAGAAGAACTCTAACACGGATATGGAATAACACAGATATATTACAAACAGGAATATATACAGAGAAGTAGAAAGTGTTAGTACGAACAATCAGGTTTAGCAGGGAGAACAATGTAGTCTCGACCAGTATCACTATTCAAATGTCTTGCAGTAATTGTCTGAACGTGACTCTGTTTCGGACTGCCTATGACTGACTGACAGACAGACTCCTGACGGACTTCTGACGGACCTCACTCCAGACTTCAGGCTGAACTCTCTGCTTCCTCTTGAGGCGCAGTATTTATTACATATGGAATAGTCCATTATGTTATTATGGGTAAGGTCTCATAACAAAGTTTTATTGTTCTATATTTTCCATGACTATTAAAACTAGTATGGTACCTATTGCTTCATGACAGCATGTTGATCAAATTTCAAATCTAAATTATTTGTACATCTAAAGTACTATATTTATTACAAAATGTATGCAGTTAAAATACAAAGGGAGTTGTAAAAATGAGTTCAATGGGCAACACTTTTTAGTCTATACTATTTTCCTGTTACCCAAGGGTTGTTGCCAGAGAGAAAGGAAAATTAGCCTCCATGACACAAATGTCCATTGCAGTTTCATTCAAATTGTGTATCTGTACCAAATATCAGAATCTATATCACTTGAGGATTTCAACAGCAGCAACAACTAAAATAGCACATCTGTAACTCATAGAGAAAATAATGACAGAATCAAGATGTTGATGTTCCACACTACTTCAAATAAAAGGTTAGGAAGGAAACCCCCATCAATAATGGAAAGAGCAATAACAGCTGCTGGACTATTTTCCTGAAAAATTATAACATTTTGTAAATTTCAACCAAAAGTAGTACTGACTGCTTGGTCAGATAATGCCAAATGTTTCCTTAATAAGGAAACTGTTATTATTGCCATTGTCATGTGTACATATATATGACATACTTATAAATATTTCTACAAAATCAAAAAAAAAAAAAAAGTTTCAAAAGTAATTCTATTTGTTCCCACATAATTTCCAAAAAGTTCAATAAAAATTAGTGAATATCTGATTCTTTAAGTTTTAAAGAAAATTAACTTTCTTTTTTGTTTTCAACCTTTATGATGTTATTGCTCAGCCCCAGGATGGTGTTGTTCAGACTGAGTGGGAAGAAGGGAATCTGTTATTCCAATGTCTCATTTCAAAATCGTGCATCGCATGTGAGGACATTAAATGGCACAAGCAGATGTCAATCACTCCCTCACAACACAGACATATATATTACATACATTTATGTAAAGTCGCACACGGGCAATGTGTGACAGACAGAAGATCAGTTCTTTTATGATAGAGATACACTGTCCAATGTTACTGAGAAAGTGTCTCGGCAACTTTGCGTATGTTTATTGGTATGGAAAATGGATTCCATGAAACAAGTCCAAATTCTAGCTAAATTTGTTTGCATCACCTTCCCACTAATGCCCTTGGAAAAGGGATGAATCTTGTGTGGTCTACCTGCAAGTATGTGAAAATAGTGGTGTTACATTAAGTCATTGAAAAAACATGACAGACAAGTTTAAAGAGAGAGAGTTTATTGGCAGAACCACACATGCATGCTAGAATTTCTTTCTAGCCAATAAGATAGGCTTGTTCTCAATCTCATCTGACACAGTCCTGATCTGTTTCGTCTTGATGTCAGAATGCTACATTCATTTATCTGAATTCGCTCTTGTGTGACAATGCCAATTCTTACTTTGAGAACTTTTTACCATATTACTGTTGCTTTGCCTTGCATGCATTGCTTGCTTTATATTATTTTGGCCATGTTCTTTCCTTTTCTTTTACTTGTTGTTTATTGTAAACTTTGTCAATTCTGTTTTGTCGGGCCGTTCTGCCACTTACATTTAACCATGGCCACTCACTCTACACAGTCAACTTTGATCTTCAAAAATTTAAATACAATGTCAACCCTTATCTACTGTCTTGATTTCTGTTCTTTTATTGTTATCACTCTTTAATAATGTTTTTTCTTTTGTCACCCCTCCCCAACATACCTACACACAGTCCTTGCATCTTAGTGGATTTTTTCTTTTGCATGTGGTGAAATGAAGAAAAAAATAGTCCTTGCTAAGTTATCTAAAGAACATAACAGACACAAGTTTAAAGGGAGAGAAAAGTTGCCAGCAACAGGTTTTATTCAGGTACAGGAATAAAAGGAAGGAAATTGTGGAATTCTCATCTGACTTCTTGCTTCCCAATCAACTTGATCTTCAAAAATTGAAATGCAACGTCAGTCATTATCTTCTGTCTTAATTCTTGTTCTTTTATTGTCTTCTCTCCTTAATAGTAGTTTTTCTCATATTCTCTAACACTCAGTAACTGCTTGCGTCCTAGTAGCTTTATTGCCTTTGATCTTCAAAAATTGAAATGCAATGTCAATCGTTGTCTTCTGTCTTCTTAATTTCTGTTCTTTTATTATTCTCTTTCCTTAATGTTTTCTTTTTCCCACTCAATCCTTGCATCTTAGTGGTTTTATTCTTTTGCTTGGGGTGAAATGAATAATAATTAAAAAGAGGTCCTTAAGTCATTGAAATAACGTGACAGATACAACTTTAAAGAGAGGGAAAACTTGCCAACAACTGGCGTCATTCGAGTACAGGAGAAGAAAGAGGAAAGGATATATAGGGTGTGTGAATCATGTTCTTTACTTTTGAGTAAACCATAAGGGAGCATAGATTAAATGATAATTTTAAAGATGATGTATCATCTTTTTACATCCAGAATTATTTTTTTTTTATTTTGTTAGCTTGTAATTGCTTTTGGAGTTTTCAAAAAGTTTTATTCTTTGTCTTATCCAAATCCGTGTTGAATTCTTGCTGTTCCTGAAATAAAAGGTGGGAAGAAGGAGGAGGAGGCAGAGACAACAGAAATAGATTTAGGAGTTTTATTACAGTAACAATGGTCTGTTGAAGGGAAATGCCTTCCTGAGCAAAAGACACGTGTTTAACTATTGAAAGTTCAGGGGAAAAGAGAACAATTCTTCTTGTTTGTCTTTGGCACCAGGAAGTCCCTCTTTATTTGTATATGCATCATTTATTCTTCCTGTCAGGGAGCATCCTGGGGGATTGTTCTTTTTTCTTCTTTTTTTTTTTTTGTATTTATCTTATTGTGTTTTGTTTTTGTTTTTTTTATTTTATCAATTATACAATCCCCAAAGGCTCAAATTAAAATACTTGTACTGATTTTAAAAGATAATCCACCTTTACAATGTTGGTCTAATCTTCAAAAATAATCTGTTTAAAAATGTTTCACTGTTGCATGTTGACATAGACATTCTCAAAGATTTTAAGTTTACATATGAAATTCATATCAATGCATAAAATATTTATTTTTTGTTAAATCTTCAGTCTCCTTTTTTTTTTCTTTTTTAAGAAAAAAATGTATTTTAATGAGGTCTGAATGTTTTTAAATTAATTACAATTTATTTTCTACTGGTTTAAAAACTGACCTATTGGACCACATTTAAGCTAAATCCTGCAAAGGGCTCTTGATTAGACCATCAGCTTGTTCAAGAGTTTGAGAGTCCCTAAGTCTTTGCATATTATCAGCATTGGAAGCTCTCCTGACTGTCGTTTGATCTGGGTTTTCATTTGCATGGGATTTTCTTTTCCCCACTGCAGACTTGGCTCTTTTGATTGCAATCTGGTCCTCTGTTGGCAGAGATTTCTTTTTATACTGCTGCCATATGCGATTGGCAACAATAAACTACAGAAGAACTCAAAATTAATCACTGCATTTAAGTATTGCATTAATATTTAAGCTTACCTTTTAAAAGTCCAACAATAATTCTTCTGCTGCCACTTAATTTGAAGACAATTTGATGTATGTAGGTCCTTACTTTCCATACAAACATTTATTTTTATTTCATGGGTGACTTTTGTTGGATTTTGCAATTAATTTTGATTATTCCCAAAATTATTTCCAAGTTATAAAAATTTTATTGTACTAAAAAATTTGTTGCAAAAAATCATGCTAGAAAGTCCAACATCGTTAACAGCATTTTCTAGATGATGTAGAACTGTGGCATTGGTAATGGTGTTTACAATGATAGCTTGTTAATATCGGTCAACTTTTTTGCAAGATACTGACTTGAGAGTCTTGGTGATAAAGTGAAACCTTGGTGATTAAAACTATTTACACTACATACATTGTTCAGACTCTTGTTCTCATTTTTATTGCCATATTCACAATGTTTCAGCTATTGTACTCTCTGGCCTTCTTCAGGCAATATACACTGGAATTTCAAACCAAACACTTTATTTAGTCCACAGAGGTAGATTGTTCTAATTACACATGCCAAACATTTTTGGGATATCTCAGTTTCAGTTAGTTTCCTTTAGTAACTCTCCAAGATTTTTGTTCACCTCTGCTGTAGCCAAGTATTGAACTCACAACTCTTTGGGCTAAGTCATTTTTTTGATTACTCAACCAACGTTTTTATGCACTAGGCCAAGTGTCCTTGATGATGTTTGTCAAGAGAAGTTCTCTTTATTTGCACCCAATTATAATGTTTTATGATCATGGTCATTTCCTCTGAAGAAATAGCAGGGCTGATGAGGCAGCCAAGGAATCTCTCTGAATTAATATCAAAGAATTCAAAAATCCTTTTTAAAGACTTGAAAGTCACAATTAATTCTTACATCCTCAACCAATAGCAAAAATCATGGAATACAGACACAAACTATATCAAATAAAACCCATTCTGACTGTACAATGTCTTTATTCAGGAGACTCAAGAAAAGATGTCGTCACACTTAGAAGAATCAAAATCAGACACACCCACATAACCCACCCCTTCCTCTTAAAAAATGAAAACTCACCAAAATGCCCAAACTGCCAAGAAGCACTCACTGTCAAAGATTTTTTTAATTAACTGCAATACTTCTACAATGTACCCAACCTTAGGGCCTTCTTTGAGAGTGTTGTAGTGAAAGAGATAATCAGGTACCCTGGAAAAAAGTTTGTGTTTTGTGTTCGATCTACTGAAGAAAAATTACCAAAAAGTAGTCAGCAAAAATCTACATCAATGACTAGAAGCTATGCTAATGTTCTTCCCTTCCCCTGAATGGCGTGACCAATCAGAAAATTCTCTCAGTGAACAGAAGTCGTTGTTTTTCGCTTATAAAGGAGATGATTTTTTTTTTTTTTTTTTTTTTTTTGAGCAGTGGGACGAACATGCGTTGTTGTTGGCGATAAGTGAAAGTTGGATTTGTGACCCTATTTTGTCATCTCTACAGTGTGTGTTGGACTGTTACGTCGGACTATCGTGTGGACTGTGATTTGGCTACAAGTGTTGCGGCCGAGAAACAAAAAGTCTATTGCTGTTGCTACAATCAGTTGACAGTTTTTTTTTCTTTACCTCTACAAGTGTCGAACCCAAAGCCGTGCTAAAATATATATAATGGCATTTTGTTGTACTTGAGGGTTTCTGTTTTATTATTACTGCCCTGGGATCACAATCATAATTTGTCACTCACCATGCCCATGGAGTGACTGTGTGTACTGCCACCATAGCAACAGCGATCGTATCCCTCTTCAGACCGTTGTCCTTCTCTTAAAAGAATCAAAATCAGACACACCCACATAACCCACCCCTTCCTCCTAAAAAATGCCCAAACTGCCAAGAAGCACTCACTGTCAAACATTTTTTAATTAACTGCAAAAAAAACTGGCACCTCTATTAAAAATTTTGTAAACAAAAATGGCTGCATCATCATCATCATCATCCAATGAAGCCTTTATTCAGGAGATTTTCATTGATCCTGACTCCGTTGATGATTTTGAAGGCTTTACTCAATTACATAACAAATTGCATCAAAATATTACTTATTCATTCTTTTATTAGTATACAAAAAATTAAAATCTACACGCACAATACAAAGAAAGTTATAACAATTTTAAAACAATAGGTGTTTATGTTTTTGCACCCTCAAAAAAAAAAAAGCAGTGGCAGGGGGAAGAATTCTAGAAAGAAATTAAAAAAAATGGTAAAGGTTAACATTTACAGTTGAAATTGAGGAACTTAGTACTAGTCTGCCCTTGGTGGGAGACAAACTGTTTCTTGGGTAGTTCTGATGCCACCCATTTGTGTTGCCAGAGAAATTAAAATGGGTAGAACTATACTAATAAGAAAGAGCTGATCTGTTAGACTGACTTGGCAGAAGTTGTCCCAAGCTTCACTTACCTAATATACAAGCAATCAAAGCCCAAAATAAAACACCTTAATATATTGGAAATGGGGTTCAAGTTCTTATAACTTGCCATGGTGTTTTCATCTTTTTCCTTCTTTGTGAACGTGCAGTGGACCTTTCCTAGTTTTTGGTGTAAACCACCAGAATATGGGATAGTCATTGACTGGTCGGTAGAAAGCTGGTTAAAGGGGCCCATTGTATATTTACAACAGTTTATTAATTACTGTCAAAAAAATTAAATGTCAAAAATAGGGATGCATGAGAATATTTTCTTTAAAGGTGTTCAGTTTTGAATTCACTGTCTTTATTCACCACCTACCCCACTCCCCCCATTCCTTACCCACCCCCTTACTTAAGGCAGAATGAATGATGTTGCATCAGTTTGTTACAATTAGATACAAGTTTTTCAGCCAAATCCATTCTCCCAACTACATCCAATGGAAAGAATCAAAATTTGAATAAAAATCAATTTTTATTTTATTTTTTTTAACTTTTTTTTCATTTTTTTTTATTATTTTTATTTTTACCTTTTTTCTTTTTTCTTTGTTTTCTTATTTTTATTTTTATTTCGTTTTTTCTTTTTATCATTTGTCTTTATCTTTTTATCCTTTTTTCTTTTTTATCTTACATCTTTTTCTTTTTTCTTTTTATCTTTTATCATCTTTCATCTTTTTATCTTTTATCTTTTTTAACCTTTTTTCTTTTTATCTTTTATCTTTCATCTTTTTTTTTACTTTTTTCTTTTTTATCTTTTCCTTTTTTTCTTTTTATCCTTTTTTTCTTTTTATCCTTTTTTTAAGACATTTGATGCGGTGTCATGCTCGAAGCCAAGAGAAGAAATGGTGTATTAATCGTACTTTTAAGCCCAAGGTGAGAAGGCAGAATTATTTATTATCTTACCTTTTTGATTGCTGTATTCTTTCTGCATCTGCTGAAAGAGGATACATAAATTGGCCCAAATAATGATAGGTATCAAATGTAGATATTCAACTCTGTTCAATTTCATCTCAGGTTAGTTTGTATTTAAAATGAAAACTGGTATTGAAGTATGAGTATTTTATGCTATTAAGAATACCAAATCTGTACCAATACTTCTTCTTTTATGTGCTGTGTCCCTTCAGGACATAGGTGATCATGGCCCTCCACCTTCTCCTGCCCCTTATAGCTCTTAATAAGTTCTGTCTTTTTGTTATTTCTCCCAGATTCTGTTCTGCCATCCACTTGCTCAAGCCCATTAAGTATTTCACACATTGTTTTCCTCTGTCCTTCTTTCCCTCAACATTTTGTGAGTATCAGATTTTCCAAGCCCTCTTTTCTCATTATGTCTCAGAAATTTCAGCTGCCTCTTCCTGATGTTAAGTATGGTTCCTTTTTGTTTCCATTCTCTCCAAAACCTCATATTCAGCCCATGGTATCTGCAGCATCCTTCTGTAGAACCACACTTCTGTTGCTTCAAGTCTCTCCTTCATCTTTGAGGAGATTGTGCAGCATTCATTGCCATACAGGAGGACAGATATTACATAACAGTTCACTACTCTCTTCTTTGTTTCCTGTCTCATAATACTCTGCTTAGCTTTTGGAATGCATCTTTGGCCATCCCAATATGTCTTTGGATCTGAGTGTCATACTTTCCATCCTCTGTTAGAATACTTCCCACATATTTAAATTTCTGTACCTGCTTTGATTTTAGCATCTCCAACTTATGAATTGCATTTTCAGCTGATCTTTTTGTATTGTTGTCTTGTAATTGATGCTTAATCCCTTATTCTCACTCTCTTTCACTACCTTCATTAGGAGTTCTTGTAGTTTCCTTTCCGTGTCTACTATCAGCACTGTGTCATCTGCATATCTTATGTTTTTAAGATTGTGGCTACCAATGATAAATCCTGGTAGGATTTCTAGTTCTCTCAGAATTGCCTCATTGTATAGATTGAATAAGTCCAGTGAGAAGACACATCCTCGCCTTAAACTCCTTTCTATTTTTGTATATCTACAGAACTCATTTTTTTTATCTGCATGCAAGCAGTTTGTTGCCAATAGAGGTTTTTCATTCTTCTAATGTCTTTCCCAAATATGTCAAGGCTGCTGAGCAGCTCTAATAGATCTTTGCGGCATACTTTTTTGAACACCTTTGCATAGTCTATAAAACACAAGTACATGTTCTTTTGCATTTGTATTGCTCTTTTTGATAATATTCTGAGCATAAATATTACTTGTTCTGGTGTATTTAATGAACACACACTGTTCTTGTCTTATCTTTGGTCTGATTCTGCTGCGTGCTCTATTCATCAGAATTCGGATGATGAGTTTTGTTATGTGGCTCATTAGTATATCACCACTGTTGTAAATTTCATTTATTATTTCAGTAATCTTGTCTATGCCAAAATCATCTAAGGCTGCCAGCATCTCTATTACAATTCCGTCTAGCTCATGTGCCATGTGTCCTTGAGGGTAATCTATACTCAACACCTGAAGATTACGTTGCGCTGTCAGTGATATATATATATATATATATATATATATATATATATATATATATATATATATATATATATGACATCACATATGTAATGTTATGTTATTTTTAAAATATACTTTTATTTTTCTTTTATAATATGCTTCCAGTCAAATTGTGCTGAAAATACCAGTTCTCAATCGGTCACAAGTTAAGCAGTGTCAACCATGGCCAGTACTTGGCTGAGGGTCTGCTTGGGAATACTGAGCACTGTAAGCAAGCAACCTCCTACAATCCAAAATATGTTTTGGTTTTAAATAACCCACAAAGGGTTGATAAGCCATAAAAAAAAAAAATCATTCTTTTATGATATAAATTTATTTTTCTAACAAAATGGGATTAGCTTGGATTGTCTATATCAGAAAAGATGCTACAAGTAGAAACTGTATCTTCATCCTTCTTGCACTAACAGAAATCCTGGTGATATAATGAGTTATTATTATGGTGCCTTAAGTTAGAGGTTGCTCTAACTCAAGGCACCAGCACCACAATGTTTAAGCCCTTATAACTGAAACTGACACCTGATGAAAGCCTTTTTCAAGTCATTGCTGCTGTTTCTATAGTAATAGTATGAAATGTTTGTATGTGTATATAATTGTTTTTTCTTTACTTTTTTTTCCTCTACATTAGGGAACTGAATCTAAGATGAAAGAAGATCTTTTGTCTTTCAAATCTCTAAATGAGTGCAGTAAAAAAAGTACAGATGCTTCTGAAATTTCCAGTCAGCCAAAGGCAAGAGAAGAGAAAAGTCAAAATTTTACACAGTGGAGAGACAGTCCAGTACACAAGGCACAACAATCGGACTCTTGGGAAAAACCAGATGACCAACTTAAGAAGAATCTTTCTAAACATTATCCAAAGGTAATTGGCAATAATTATATATCTTATAGCTCTGTTTTGTCAATAATATTTAATTTAACTATTGACCACTGACAATCCCTTTCTTCCTCACTTCAAATGCATTCCTATAGTAAAATTATTAGCAATGCATTTACATTAGAAATATAATAGCCCTATTCTATCAGTAATGCTTGCATTCATTCCTGACCACTGACAATCCCTTTCTTCCTCATTTGCAATGCATTCCTATAGTAAAATCATTAGCAATGCATTTTCATTATACATATAATAGCCCTATTCTATCAGTAATGCTTGCATTCATTCCTGACCACTGACAATCCCTTTCTTCCTCATTTGCAATGCATTCCTATAGTAAAATCATTAGCAATTCATTTTCATTATACATATAATAGCCCTATTCTATCAGTAATGCTTTGTATTCATTCCTGACCACTGACAATCCCTTTCTTCCTCATTTGCAATGCATTCCTATAGTAAAATCATTAGCAATGCATTTTCATTATACATATAATAGCCCTATTCTATCAGTAATGCTTGCATTCATTCCTGACCACTGACAATCCCTTTCTTCCTCATTTGCAATGCATTCCTATAGTAAAATCATTAGCAATGCATTTTCATTATACATATAATAGCCCTATTCTATCAGTAATGCTTGTATTCATTCCTGACCACTGACAATCCATTTCTTCCTCATTTGCAATGCATTCCTATAGTAAAATCATTAGCAATGCATTTTCATTATACATATAATAGCCCTATTCTATCAGTAATGCTTGCATTCATTCCTGACAACTGACAATCCCTTTCTTCCTCATTTGCAATGCATTCCTATAGTAAAATCATTAGCAATGCATTTCCATTATACATATAATAGCCCTATTCTATCAGTAATGCTTGCATTCATTCCTGACAACTGACAATCCCTTTCTTCCTCATTTGCAATGCATTCCTATAGTAAAATCATTAGCAATGCATTTTCATTATACATATAATAGCCCTATTCTATCAGTAATGCTTGTATTCATTCCTGACCACTGACAATCCCTTTCTTCCTCATTTGCAATGTATTCCTATAGTAAAATCATTAGCAATGCATTTTCATTATACATATAATAGCCCTATTCTATCAGTAATGCTTGCATTCATTCCTGACCACTGACAATCCCTTTCTTCCTCATTTGCAATGCATTCCTATAGTAAAATCATTAGCAATGCATTTTCATTATACATATAATAGCCCTATTCTATCAGTAATGCTTGCATTCATTCCTGACCACTGACAATCCATTTCTTCCTCATTTGCAATGCATTCCTATAGTAAAATCATTAGCAATGCATTTTCATTATACATATAATAGCCCTATTCTATCAGTAATGCTTGCATTCATTCCTGACAACTGACAATCCCTTTCTTCCTCATTTGCAATGTATTCCTATAGTAAAATCATTAGCAATGCATTTCCATTATACATATAATAGCCCTATTCTATCAGTAATGCTTGCATTCATTCCTGACAACTGACAATCCCTTTCTTCCTCATTTGCAATGCATTCCTATAGTAAAATCATTAGCAATGCATTTTCATTATACATATAATAGCCCTATTCTATCAGTAATGCTTGTATTCATTCCTGACCACTGACAATCCCTTTCTTCCTCATTTGCAATGCATTCCTATAGTAAAAATCATTAGCAATGCATTTTCATTATACATATAATAGCCCTATTCTATCAGTAATGCTTGTATTCATTCCTGACCACTGACAATCCCTTTCTTCCTCATTTGCAATGCATTCCTATAGTAAAATCATTAGCAATGCATTTTCATTATACATATAATAGCCCTATTCTATCAGTAATGCTTGTATTCATTCCTGACCACTGACAATCCCTTTCTTCCTCATTTGCAATGCATTCCTATAGTAAAATCATTAGCAATGCATTTTCATTATACATATAATAGCCCTATTCTATCAGTAATGCTTGCATTCATTCCTGACCACTGACAATCCCTTTCTTCCTCATTTGCAATGCATTCCTATAGTAAAATCATTAGCAATGCATTTCCATTATACATATAATAGCCCTATTCTATCAGTAATGCTTGTATTCATTCCTGACCACTGACAATCCCTTTCTTCCTCATTTGCAATGCATTCCTATAGTAAAATCATTAGCAATGCATTTTCATTATACATATAATAGCCCTATTCTATCAGTAATGCTTGTATTCATTCCTGACCACTGACAATCCCTTTCTTCCTCATTTGCAATGCATTCCTATAGTAAAATCATTAGCAATGCATTTTCATTATACATATAATAGCCCTATTCTATCAGTAATGCTTGTATTCATTCCTGACCACTGACAATCCCTTTCTTCCTCATTTGCAATGCATTCCTATAGTAAAATCATTAGCAATGCATTTTCATTATACATATAATAGCCCTATTCTATCAGTAATGCTTGTATTCATTCCTGACCACTGACAATCCCTTTCTTCCTCATTTGCAATGCATTCCTATAGTAAAATCATTAGCAATGCATTTTCATTATACATATAATAGCCCTATTCTATCAGTAATGCTTGTATTCATTCCTGACCACTGACAATCCCTTTCTTCCTCATTTGCAATGCATTCCTATAGTAAAATCATTAGCAATGCATTTTCATTATACATATAATAGCCCTATTCTATCAGTAATGCTTGCATTCATTCCTGACCACTGACAATCCCTTTTCTTCCTCATTTGCAATGCATTCCTATAGTAAAATCATTAGCAATGCATTTTCATTATACATATAATAGCCCTATTCTATCAGTAATGCTTGTATTCATTCCTGACCACTGACAATCCATTTCTTCCTCATTTGCAATGCATTCCTATAGTAAAATCATTAGCAATGCATTTTCATTATACATATAATAGCCCTATTCTATCAGTAATGCTTGCATTCATTCCTGACCACTGACAATCCCTTTCTTCCTCATTTGCAATGCATTCCTATAGTAAAATCATTAGCAATTCATTTTCATTATACATATAATAGCCCTATTCTATCAGTAATGCTTGTATTCATTCCTGACCACTGACAATCCCCTTTCTTCCTCATTTGCAATGCATTCCTATAGTAAAATCATTAGCAATGCATTTTCATTATACATATAATAGCCCTATTCTATCAGTAATGCTTGCATTCATTCCTGACCACTGACAATCCCTTTCTTCCTCATTTGCAATGCATTCCTATAGTAAAATCATTAGCAATGCATTTTCATTATACATATAATAGCCCTATTCTATCAGTAATGCTTGCATTCATTCCTGACCACTGACAATCCCTTTCTTCCTCATTTGCAATGCATTCCTATAGTAAAATCATTAGCAATGCATTTTCATTATACATATATAATAGCCCTATTCTATCAGTAATGCTTGTATTCATTCCTGACCACTGACAATCCCTTTCTTCCTCATTTGCAATGCATTCCTATAGTAAAATCATTAGCAATGCATTTTCATTATACATATAATAGCCCTATTCTATCAGTAATGCTTGCATTCATTCCTGACCACTGACAATCCCTTTCTTCCTCATTTGCAATGCATTCCTATAGTAAAATCATTAGCAATGCATTTTCATTATACATATAATAGCCCTATTCTATCAGTAATGCTTGCATTCATTCCTGACCACTGACAATCCCTTTCTTCCTCATTTGCAATGCATTCCTATAGTAAAATCATTAGCAATGCATTTTCATTATACATATAATAGCCCTATTCTATCAGTAATGCTTGCCCTATTCTATCATTCATTCCTGACCACTGACAATCCCTTTTCTTCCTCATTTGCAATGCATTCCTATAGTAAAATCATTAGCAATGCATTTTCATTATACATATAATAGCCCTATTCTATCAGTAATGCTTGCATTCATTCCTGACCACTGACAATCCCTTTCTTCCTCATTTGCAATGCATTCCTATAGTAAAATCATTAGCAATGCATTTTCATTATACATATAATAGCCCTATTCTATCAGTAATGCTTGCATTCATTCCTGACCACTGACAATCCCTTTCTTCCTCATTTGCAATGCATTCCTATAGTAAAATCATTAGCAATGCATTTTCATTATACATATAATATCCCTATTCTATCAGTAATGCTTGCATTCATTCCTGACCACTGACAATCCCTTTCTTCCTCATTTGCAATGCATTCCTATAGTAAAATCATTAGCAATGCATTTCCATTATACATATAATAGCCCTATTCTATCAGTAATGCTTGCATTCATTCCTGACCACTGACAATCCCTTTCTTCCTCATTTGCAATGCATTCCTATAGTAAAATCATTAGCAATGCATTTTTCATTATACATATAATAGCCCTATTCTATCAGTAAGCTTGCATTCATTCCTGACCACTGACAATCCCTTTCTTCCTCATTTGCAATGCATTCCTATAGTAAAATCATTAGCAATGCATTTTCATTATACATATAATAGCCCTATTCTATCAGTAATGCTTGCATTCATTCCTGACCACTGACAATCCCTTTCTTCCTCATTTGCAATGCATTCCTATAGTAAAATCATTAGCAATGCATTTTCATTATACATATAATAGCCCTATTCTATCAGTAATGCTTGCATTCATTCCTGACAACTGACAATCCCTTTCTTCCTCATTTTGCAATGCATTCCTATAGTAAAATCATTAGCAATGCATTTTCATTATACATATAATAGCCCTATTCTATCAGTAATGCTTGTATTCATTCCTGACCACTGACAATCCCTTTCTTCCTCATTTGCAATGCATTCCTATAGTAAAATCATTAGCAATGCATTTTCATTATACATATAATAGCCCTATTCTATCAGTAATGCTTGTATTCATTCCTGACCACTGACAATCCCTTTCTTCCTCATTTGCAATGCATTCCTATAGTAAAATCATTAGCAATGCATTTTCATTATAC